ATTGATGTAGATTATGGGTAGTTCTTCGTCGAATCTGTAGTTTTGACGGCCAAAAACTGAGCTAACTTAGTAACTCTGTCCATTATCACCCAAATAGAGTCATGTAATCTGCGAGTACGAGGTAAACCCGTAATGAAGTCCATGTTTATCACTTCCCACTTCCATGTAGGAATGCAAATCTTTTGAGTCACACCTCCTAGTTTCTGATGTTTTACTTTAACCTGTTGACAGTTAGGACACTTAGCCACGAACTCTGCAATGTCCGTCTTTATGTCGTTCCACCAATAGACTTTTTGTAGATCACGGTACATATTAGTGGCACTCGAATTAATAGAATATTTGGAATTATGGGCTTATGTAAGGATCTGCTGCCTTAACTCACCCACATTTGGAACACATAAGCGACTTTGGTAATGAAGTACACCATCACCCCTTGGGAGAAAACCTCAACTTTTTGCTGATGAACTGCACCTTTTAATAGAAGTAATATAGGATCGCTATCTTGTTTTTCCTTAACCTCCGCTACCAATGAGGATTCTGATCCATTCTGAATTATCACACCAGCCACCATCTAACGTGTTTGTAAGGAAAACTCCTAAGCGAGCAAGTCGGTGAAATATCTTTAGCTAACTCTTTCGTTTCTTCCTAAACATGTGCTACACTACCCATAGACAGTCTGCTAAGAGCATCAGCCACTACATTGGCCTTACCCGAATGGTAAAGCACATTCATGTCATAGTTTTTGAGGAATTCAAGCCATCTCCTCTAACTAAGATTCAGATCATTTTGGGTGAAAACATATTTTGAGGCTTTTATGATCTGTGAACACATCAACATGAACACCATACAAGTAATGTCTCCAAATCTTTAGGGCAAACACTACAGTTGCAAGCTCTAGGTCATGAGTCGGGTAGTTCTTCTTATGGACCTTAAGCTGCCTAGAAGCATAAACTATGACCTTACCTTGCTGCATCAATAGATAACCTAGGCTGACCATAGATGTGTCACAATAAACCACATAACCATCTGAACCATCTGGTAGAGTCAAGACCGGAGTTGTAGTCAACTTGGTCTTCAGTTCTAATAAGCTTTTCTCACACTCATCTAACCACTGAAACTTAACCTTTTTCTGAGTTAACTTGGTCAATAGGGAAGCTATGGATGAAAATCCTTCAACAAACCTCATGTAATAACCGGCCAAACCCAAGAAACTTCTTATATCAGTCGAAGAGGTGGGTTTGAGCCAATGTTTTACTGCCTCAATTTTCTGAGGATCTACTCGGATCTCTTTGTTGGATACCACATGACCAAGGAAATCTACCGACTGTAACCAGAATTCACATTTGCTGAACTTAGCGAATAACTTGCAATCTTTGAGAGTTTGCAGAACAACTCTTAGATGAGTTGCATGCTCTTCCTCACTTTGAAAATAAATGAGGATATCATCAATAAAAATAATAACGAACCTGTCCAAGTACTATTTGAACACCATGTTCATTAAGTCCATGAAAGGTGCAGGAGCATTTGTTAGTCCAAAAGACATAACTACAAATTCATAGTGGCCATATCAAGTCCTGAAGGCTGTCTTTGGGATGTCACTATCTCTGACTCTGAGCTGATGGTACCTGGATCTGATGTCTATCTTAGAAAAGCAACTAGCACGCTGAAGTTGGTCAAACAAGTCATCAATCCTAGGAATGGGATACTTATTTTTTATTGTGACTTTGTTCAACTAACGATAGTCAATGCACATCCTGAGAGCCATCTTTCTTTCGCACGAACAACACTAGAGCACCCCATGGAGAGATGTTGGGTTTGATGAAGCCTTTATCTAGAAGGTCTTTCAACTGTTCTTTCAATTCCTTTAGCTTAGCTAGAGCCATTCTGTAAGGGTGGAATCAAAATGGGCTAGGTATTTGGAAGGAGATCTATTTCGAAGTCGATTCCCTTTAGGGAGTAACTCTAGGAAGATCTTCCAGGAACACTTTTGGAAACTCATTTACGACAGGGACTGACTCTAGAATTGGGGATTTGGAGTTTGAATCCATAACCCAAACAAGATAATAGATATACCATTTAGAAATCATTTTCCTGGCCTTAAGGTAAGAGATAAATTGACCTATAGGTACTGAGCTACTACCCTTCCACTCTAACACTAGCTAGTTTGGAAACTGAAACCGAACAATCCCAGTTCTACAATCGATTGAAGCATGACAGGAATTTAACCAATCCATGCCCAGAATAACATCGAAATCTTCCATTTCTAACTCTTTAAGGTCCGCTAAGGTGACTTTCTAGAAACTGTGACAAGATGATTTTTGTATACCCGTCTAGCTATACCTAGGTCACCAACTGGAGTAGATACTGAGAAGGGTTCAGAGAGAGTTTCTAAACTGACACCGAAATTTATTGCTATATACGGAGTTACAAAAGAAAGTGTAGCCCCTGGATCTAATAATGCATAAACATCTAAATGGAAGACTCTCAACGCACCAGTGACCACATCGGGAGAATTTTCTTGGTCTTGGCAAGCCTACAGAGCATACAACCTATTCTGGCGTTGACTACCAAATGTACTAGACGAGTCACCCTGCTGAATGGGCGACATGTTGGCACTGCTGAAGTAGTAGACTGAAACTATGTTACCTCCTTGTCCTTGCCTGGCAGAAGGGCAATCCTTCAATTGATGACCAGACTGACCGCATCCAAAACACCCCTCTCTGCCAGCAAGACACTTACCTGAATGGTTTTTACCACATTTTGAGCAAGTTGGAAAAGTCTGATTATCTGAAGCACTCCCCTTTGACTTAGAGCCTGATGCCCTACCTTTTTGACGGAGCGATACCTGATGAAAGTGCTAGAGTTGTAGACCTCTACTAAAACTATGAATGATTTGCACCGCCCGACCTTTGCTGAGGGTATCCATAATTCCTTGTTCTAGCCTTTTTGTTGTCCTTAGCCATTTCTGTAAGCCCTCAACCTGTTAAGCATGAATCATTATCCTGGAGATATCCATGTCTCCTAATAGCATACATCCATGCACTTGGTCTTGACCAGATCGGATACTCCAAACAAGAACTTGTTCATTTGTGCTCTCGAATCAACAACCATGTGTGGAGCATACCTGGACAACTGAGTGAACTTCAGCCCGTATTCTTGGACTAACATTTAACCCATCTTCAAATTCCTGAACTCTTGGGCCTTAGCCTCCCTTAACTCTCTCGGAAAGAACCTATCCAGAAAAGTTCTAGTAAAACAGTCCCAAAGAAAATTTGATCGCGGTGTAAGATTCACCAAAGAGAAATGGTCAGATTAATTTAATTCAAATTCACCAAAAAAGAAAGTTCAATGACGTTGATGAAGATCATCAATCAAGAGAGAGAGTCAAATTTGTTTGATAAAGTACAAGTTTAAATGATTTATATATATAAAAAAAAATTGTCAATTACAATATTTTATTTCTTCAGATCTCATTATTACCATTTATTTCATTTTCTTATGCCTCTCTTCAATTAATCAAGGGAAAAAAGACAAATATATCCCCAAACTATCATAAATGGCATGCAGATACCCTCCGTCATATTTTTGGGACATTGGTGCCCGTGCTCTCCAAAAACTAGAGAATATATAGTCTTTATACTAACGGACATACACGTGTCATAATCTTATCCTCCAATCCAACATTTATTAAATATCATATCGACGGATAAGATTGTGTCACGTGTCCCTATTTAGTCTTCCGTTAGAGTGAAGGGCATATATGCTCTAGTTTTTGAACGGCAGGGGCACCAATGTCCCAAAAGTATGAAGGAGGTATTTGCATACCACTTACGATAGTTCGGGAATATTTTTGTCCTCTTTCCCATTTATCAATTATACTTTTTTTTAATCTTTTCTCTATTTATTTTTCTTATTTTATAATTAAAGGATTAAAAAATAGAAATAGTACTATTTATGCTTTTCTCAATTTCTTTGGCTTTTTACTCTTTTTAATTAGTATTTTGTCCTTTTTTTTGTTAATTTCTTTTGCTCTTTACTCACTTTTTGGTCAGTAAATTACTATAATGTTCACTCATTCTTATTTTTTGATGAACGAAATGGTAATGATTGTGCCCAATAGTTACAATATTCTTATCTTCCATATTTATGGTATGCTACAACATTTTCACATTCCGCCTAGGTAAGTTAAAACAAAAATTCATATAACTAAAAGATAATCAATTTATTATAGTTCTAACAAGAGTTAACAAAATTATGATTTTATGACGAGCAAAAATGAATAAAAGGTTATTCCAGAATAATTCAATTTTTCTTTTATCAATTATCCTTCAATAAATATTGTAAACATTTTTTACTAATTTTTTTTCAATATTAGTAGTGTATTTACCTCAAGTTTCATTCATATGGTGAATTATCTTATAAATGAATAATAGTTACTAATTTTATCATCTAACTTATTACTTATTTATTTTTTTTCAAAAAAACTTAGGAGTTGTAATATTAGAATTGATATTACATGCTATTTTAGTAAGGGCAAAGCCTTAGGTGATGAAAGGTTAGAATTTATTTTTATTTTTTTTATAAAACATAGTGTTAACAATTAAATAAAGTAGTAAAACTTAAAATCTAAACGGATTTGAGATTTTAAAAGAGAATATTATAAAATATAGTGAAAACATTAGTTTATAGATCTAATGAGATATTTTGTAACTGAGCGAGCGCGGCTAAGTTTACTAGTGTAGAATAGAACTAAGTACTAGTAAAATTAGTGAGGCTAATATGGTAACAAAATCTATTATATTAGTATAGATAGCAATTACTACTAAGTTAAAGGACTACAATCTAAAAGGTGGACTTTTCGTGTTATTTATTTAAAAAAATATGTGTTCTTAACGGAAAGATCGAGGTTCTATGGCTACCAATAATGGCGGACATTTTCCTGAAGATTTAATTAGAGAAATTCTACTTAGATTGCCTGTGAAGTCATTGTTGAGGTTCAAATGCATCTGAAAAACTGGTACACTCTTATAAAAAATTCTAGCTTCATCCGTGAACACTTGAATTTTAGCAAGAACAATCCCCCACAACTCTTGATTTATGATTATGGTGCACCCGGTGATTTCCCTCCCATCACTTTTATTTCCGATTATGGTATAGATGCTCCTACACATGAAGTAAATCCCCAAAGTTTCGAAGGTATGACAAACCTCTTAGGTTCTATAGATGGCTTGTTTTTCTTGGAACGAGAAATTAATAATGATGTCCTGTGTGCATTGTGGAATCCTGCTACTAGGGAGGTGAGAGACCTCCTTAGTGCAGTCGGAATCAAATTTGAATCATTTTTCAGTTCTGATCGATTTTTTGGATTTGGATTAGATGTATTAACTACCAATTATAAAGTGGTTTACTATAATTGCAAGAATGAAAATGCAGTTGTGTATTCATGTTCTAGGGATTCATGGAGAATATTCAAACATGAAAATGTTTGTGACAATCGAAATGCCGAATGTGTGGATACCTTTTATGGTAGTACTACTTATCTGAATGGATCTTATTACTGGATGTTAAGGAAAAATGTCAATTTCAACTTTACTTTCAAATTCCTTTCATTCAACTTTGGGAATGAGGTGTTTGAAGTGATTGAAGGGCCGCCACATGATTGTGCTATTCGTAGTTGGACTGCAGATCTAATGATTCTTGATGATTCCATTGCCATTTTGAACGAAGTTGACATGTTTATTTATAATGTATGGGTAATGATCCAACCAGGGGTTTGGAACATGTTAGCTACCTTTGATTGCTTTTTATGTAATAAGTCTTGTTGTGATAATTTTCTAATTTGGTCAAGTGGATGTTTTGGATTGATCTCCTATAATGTTAAGACAAAGAAGACGAGATATCTTGAATTTCATCATCCATGCCTAGGTAGAAGTCCAACTTGGAGAGGTTTTGGGATTTACTATTATAAAGAGAGTTTAGTAACAATTAAACGGCAAGAAAATGGATAGCTCGACCACATGAGGGCTTCTTGGTGACAAAATAGGCGATCAAATATTAAATTTCAATAAGAGGCCTTAAACTTATTCAATAAGATGTTCATGACTTATTCAATAAGATGTTCATGTATCTTTATTTACAGTTTGTTCATCTGCTTTTCTAGTCAAGTCAAAATTACATGTTTCAATATAAGGTTCATTACTTACTTTCATTGTTGTTGTACAAGATAGTTGAGCTTGGGAGTTTTTATCAAGACATTAAGATAATTCTATGCTTGAGGTTCATTTCTAACTTTGTTATTACTTCATAATTCATTTACTATATTTTCCAATTATAAATTTGGAGTGAATTGAAGTTCTTTTTATGACGAGCAAGATAATGACTTTAAATTAAATATTCTATTTATGTACTTGCATAGACGACGCGATTGAGCAGAGCATACCACCCTTGTCATAGTCAGTGTTCTATTTATAGTCGTAATTATTGTCATAGTCAATAAGGTCAAAATTTCAAGTCGTGTGATTGATAACTTTCATGCACGATCTCGAGAGCACTGAATTAGAATAAGAGATTTACCATCATATTTGTTTCATTTAAAAAAATAGATAATTTAAATGAAACAAACTTGTTTTACGTGACAAATTCTTGAATGCTTAATATTTTTCCTTCAATAAAAAAATAACCAAATTCTTCCTTCAAGGATCGATGAAAAAAGACCAAATTGGAATTCACTAAAATTCAATTCATGTAACGACCTATTTAATGATTACATTAAAATTATAAGTTTAATTGTAAAAAAAAAAAATCTTAAGTTTTCCATTGTTGTTCATAAGCCATAAGACCTATGTCACTGCAACTCATCATGATCATCTATGGAGGAAAAATGGAAAAAAGACTTGCTTTGTCTTTTCCTTTTTCAATTCTATTTGAGATGAGCAAAAATAATATAAACTTCTATTGTTATCATTCAGTTAGGTACTCAATTAATAATTTTAATTTAATTTTTTTATTTTAATATTGTTTAATAAAAAATGACTTTCTAAAATAATAATTATACCTTGAATGATATATAAAAAATTAACAGGAAAAATTGCATCATTATCGCACACCAGTGTTTTCAAAAATATTCTTTGGGGCGAGTCCCAGACGAGTCTCGGGGCGGGGCCTACAAAACCGCTCTGGGGATCAAATTAAAGACGTAGATCCATAGGCCGTAAGTCCTAGAATTTAGTGCGTAAGCTCCAAGCGTAAAAGCTCAAGCCCTGGTCATAAAAACGTACGCCCTGTGCGTTTGTTTAAAAACTTTTTTTTTTTTGCTTTAAATCATTTTTTTTATTATTGGTGCAATGATATTTCTCAAATAGTAATTGTAATATTTTTTTCTTCATTATTGGTTATTAATACCTTTCTCAAATAAAAATCATAATATTAGATTGATACATAGTAGTTTACTTTATTAAGAAGAGATAATCTTCTATAACCATTTAAAATTGGGAAGAGGGTTAAAAATGTCCTTAACGTATTGAAAATAGTTTTAAAATGCCCTCCTTCCACGTATTGAATCAAAATTGCCCTTTACGTTTTTTTCGATTTAAATATGCCCTCTTTCAAATCACTCATCCGCTATTTTCAAATCTCTTACCTATAAAAATTGCAAATAAATCTATAAAATTAATTAAATGTGTTCAAATTGAATTTAAGTTTTATCTCATGCACAACTTTAATCTTCCCATGAATTTCATGTTTGAAGTTCGAAATATAAAATATAGATATTTGCAAACAAAAACTTAAGATAAAAAGAATATACTCACAAACATAAAGTAATTATAATAATATGAAGCTTTTCAAAGAAAAATGAAAAAAAAAATTTAAAAAAAAAAACTTCGTACTTCTCTTCTAATAAACGTGAAAGGAAAAACTGGAAAGGAAAATAAAATTTAAAAACTAATACAAAATTATGCAGTTTGAATAATTTAATTTAAAAATTACCTTAGCTGCGTTATAAACACAAATAAACAGAATTTGAATTTCTACTCTATCCACAAGAGAAACACACAATATTCATCTATATATAAATGGAATTGTAATTTTTTAAGGCTTTTATTTTGGAAAAAGGGTCTGAAATATATCTGAACTTTGACCGAAATTGTTGTAACAATACCAAACTTTGGAAATGATCTTTTATGATGATTACATTATGTTGTAATTTTAGTTTGTGATGATTGCATTATGTTGTTTTTGGTTAAGATATCAAGAAAATGGCAGGGGTGAACCCACCTTTAGCTAAGGGGTGCCTTTGTCGAAAAATTACATTGTATAGAGGTCAAATTTTGGTTATATATATATATATTGACACCTCTTGACACAAGTTAAAGGTTTAATTTAGTGGTCAAGGTGTTCCGAGTCAAATTTCATATGATCAAAACCGATCGCTTTGAGCGACTTGTTCAAATTAATAACGATTTTTCAAAGGATCATTTATTTATTTTAATTATTTATTTATTTTAGCAAGTCATTAAGCTTTGGGTGACTTACTATTAATTATTTATTTAAATAATTCGAGTTAAATGAGTACACATTAATATTTTAAGCTACGTAAAATACTATCGTGTTGTGATCAATTTGTACTCTTGTGACACTTTTATAACCATTGATCTTTGAAACTTACGATATTTCTACTTATTCTTGGTCTCTTTTGATGTGATAATTATTAGCTCCAGATTCATAAGTTGTCACTCTATAAGATGTGGTTCGATGCACTTTACAAGGTTATACAACAACACATTAATGCACCAATACTAACTTTCTTTCAGTGAAATGATATATTTTGCGTATGTGCATATGATGTTGAGCTTAGTTGCTTATTTGTATCTCATTTTTATGCCTATTGTAAGCTTATTTATACTATTATGCACTACTATTTTTAAGAATAGTCACTAGCTAGTAAGAATTTAACTTCAAAATGCTTATTTTATCATTAATAAAATCATCTACAGTCATACAAACATTTATAACTTACTCCCTCCATTCACTTTTACTTGTCACTTATTTCTAAAATAAATTTTCATTATTACTTGTCACTTTTGACATATCAAGAAAAGAAAATAATTTTTTTTTCATGTTTTACCCTCAGCATTAAATACTTATTTTTCAAGACATCATTTAATATGGATAGTTAGGTAAAATACATATATCAATAATCATTTTCTTAATGGGTGTGACAAGTCAAAGTATGACAAGTAAAAGCGAACTGAGGGAGTATTTTAGATCACAAGTTTCAAAAGTCATTCTTTCTTTCTTAAACTTTGTGCCGAATCAAACTAAGTCATACAAATTGAAACGGAAAGAGTAGCAGTCAATCTAGCCAGTTGGCCAAGTACTTTGGGTGCCAATCACAGTTTAAGTACCAGATTTAGGTGGTGACACCTTCATTGTCTTTTATAACATCCGATCTAACCTTAAAAGAAACCACTAACAAGGCCAAATTTCACACTCAATGGCATTAATATGTGGATAAGCAAATGGTATCATGGAAAGAATTTGTTGTTGTAGGCATTAGAACTACAACGAAACAGGGAGATGAAACGGGAGAGGGAGAGAGAGAGGTCGCGATTTGGTGAAGTAAATGGGGAAAGACAAGGTTGGTAGAGCTAAGGGACTCTTGAAAGAGTGCTATAAACACAGAATTATGCTATGAACTATTTTGTAGTTGATATGACTCAATAATTAACAACTAATGACAATTTTAATACTCAATGAGAAAAGCTTAGTGCTTAAACAACCATGTCATACTGAGATTAAAAATGGCACTACCTTGGCCTTGACAAACATGTTGTGACCCCACAAGCTGACTTGGAGGACACATCAGCAACCACAGTGGAGAAACACACTCAGCAGGAGGGTGGGGTTTTGAAAAGAAGTAAGCGCGTGAGAACCCCTTCAACAAGGCTAACTGATTTCGTAGTGGGAACTAAACGATGAGAACGTGGGCAAAGGGCAAGAACGTGTGGCTCGTGAAGTACCAGATTTCATAAATAGCAAAACAAGATTTGAATTAATTAGGAATTGTAATTTGAGTCTTGTTATCTCATCTCCTTGTTCTGTGTTTTCTCATCTCCTCAATTTCTTCTTTCCTTGTTACTGTTCCATTGATTTTCCTTCTTGGTCTTGTATTTCAGTTGTCGTTATAACACAAGCTACCTTTATTTGCAAATTGTTATTTGGTTTGTTGCATTGGTGCTTTCATCTAGAGGTCACTCATGGAGGACCACAAAATACTCAAGGCTCACGTGGATAATTCAATTAAGGAAGTGAAGGATTCCTTCTCTAAAGAACTCACTGAGATCCGAAATATAGGTTTCCACCAAAGTTACGATGGGGACACACCATCATGAACCGACCATGGAGATAGCTCGACAGGATCACCTGCCGGCAGCCACTATGCCCAGGCACAAACCTGCTTCAGTGGAATTGGGTCGATTTCGCGATGACAACTCAGAGGCTTGGATATTCCAAGCGGAGCGATACTTTGACTTTTATAGAATTGAAGAAGATCAAAGGCTGACTATGGCATCATTTTATCTCGACGACGAAGCACTGGAATAGTACAAATGGTTGTTTAGGAACAAACAACTAGTTGACTGGCCTCATTTTGCTAAGAAAGTGCGAGTCCGGTTTAAGCAGAAGGGTCTGGAGTCGACAGAGGGAAGATTGGCAAAACTCCGACAAATTACCACCGTCTCAGATCTGCAAGGACGATTTGAAGCTATCGCAAATGAGACTGATGATATTTCTAATAGGCCTATGCTTCACCTCTTTATCTCTGGACTAAGAGAGGACATTAAAAACTCGATACTGAGTCATGAGCCAAGAACGTTTGATGAGGCCCTTAAGTAGGCTCATTTACAAGAGCGACGGATCCAGGCTGAGAAAGGACCCATCCGACCGGCTTTGGCTAATAAGGGTGCGCCTTTACTACCTTACCCAAATGTCTCCTCATCCTACCAGAACTCTTCTACGATAGCGACCAACAACAACTTGATCGTGCTAATGCGCGCCCTCCATTGAAACGCCTATCACATGCCGAAATTCAGAGTCATCGTGAGCATGGACTCTACTACTATTGTGAGGAAAAGTATACAGTCAGACATAAATGCAAATCACCACCCCAGATGTTACTCCTCACTAATGAAATCGATAGTGAACCAATATTACCGGAGTCATTCGTCACTGATGATATATTGGCAGAAGAATTACAGTGTTTGGAGGTACAAGAACATTCTGCTATTTTTTATCATGCTTTGGCCGGTGGGCATTCTTCTTCCACCCTTCGATTCCTTGGTCATGTCAGTGGATCCCCGATTCAGGTCTTGGTGGATGGAGGTAGTGACCATAATTTCATCCAAGCAAGGATGGTAAGTTTCCTGCAGGTTCCAATTGTTTCCATTTCTAGTTTTGTTGTAGTAGTAGGAAGTGACCAACGACTCAGGTGCGAAGGGGTTATGCGACAAGTTCCCCTTATAATTTAAAAATGTAAGCTCACACTTGACTTGTATGTATTATCATTACATGGAGGTGATGTGGTCCTCGGGGCATCTTGGCTTTCTACGTTAGGAAGGGTGATCACGGATTATGGAGAACGCACATTTGAATTTAGTTACCAGGGAACTACTAATATTTGGAAAGGATTAGAACCAACCAGTGCTAAGCCTATCCAATTGCATACCCTCCGACGAGACAAAGCAATTGATGCAATATCTGCATACTATTGTTTGCAAATAGTTTCAACTGTGTATACTCATGATGAGCAGGTCAATCCGACCCTCCAGGCTATCTTGGAATCTTTTGTTAATGTCTTTCACAATCCCCAAGGCCTGCCCCTATTACGAGTCCTTGATCACGCGATACATTTGGTGCCAGGAACCAATCCAGTGAATGTTAAGCCGTACATATACCCCTACTTTCAGAAGCAAGTAATGGAAGAAATGGTCACTGAAATCCTCAGAGAAGGGGTGATTCGATCCAGTACAAGCCATTTCTCCTCACCAGTGTTGTTAGTCCCAAAAAAAGATGGAACGTGGAGGTTTTGCGTGGGCTATAAGGCACTAAATACAGTCACAATTCAGGATAGATTTCCCATACCAACAGTTGATGAGTTATTCGATGAGCTTCACGGGGCTATGTATTTCTCTAAACTCAACTTGTTGGTTGGATACCACCAAATTCGAGTTAGACCAGAAGATGTGGAGAAAACAACATTTAGAACACATCAAGGACATTACGAGTTCTTGGTAATGCCATTTGGGTTATCTAATGCTCCATCCACTTTTCAAGCGACTATGAACGAGGTGTTTCGGATGTATCTACGTCGTTTTGTTCTGGTTTTCTTTGATGATATACTGATTTATAGTACCACTTGGGAAGAACATTTGTTGCACTTTTAAACAGTTCTAAATTTGTTATGACAATACCAGTTAGTCGCCAAAAGGAGTAAGTGTCAGTTTGATCAAATAAGAGTTGATTACATCGGCCATGTAATTTCTATACAAGGTCTTATTGTGGATCCATTAAAGATCGCAGATACAACAATGGCATGCGCCTAGAAATGTGAAACAGGTGTGCAGTTTCCTTGGGCTGGCAGGATATTATCGGAGGTTCATCCACCACTATGTCGCAATAGTTGGGGGCCTCACAAATCTACTTCGCATGGTTCCTTTTGCCTGGACAGATGCAACTCAAGCTGCCTTTGACACTCTTAAGAATAAGTTAAGCACAACGCCAGTCCTAGCCTTGCCTGATTTCACCCAAGAGTTCCAGCTTGAGACAGATGCTTCAGGCCAGGGCATTGGAGCAGTACTTTCACAAAAAGGGCATCCAGTGGCATATTTTAGTCAGAAGTTGAGTAATAGGATGCATGAGGCTTCCACCTACCATCGAGAGATATTTGCAATCACCCAATCGGTTAGCAAATGGCGCCAATACTTGTTGGGTAGGAGGTTTACCATTTACACTGACCAACAGTCACTTAAGAGCTTGACAAACCAAACAATTTAGACCCCTAAACAACAAAAATGGTTAAGTAAGTTGGTTGGCTTTGACTTTCAGATTATATACCGCCCCGCCCTGGAAAATTGAACCAAGTTGCTAATGGTCTTTTCCGTATTCCAGAGGTTGTTTTTCTTACTATCTCAGTACGAGGTTATGACCTCGAAAATGAGCTCAAAATACTCAACAAAACACATCCAAAACTGACTTCTCTACAGCACACTGTGCATGACCAGACCACCCTTGATTCAGGGTTCACTTTTTGAGATGGACTCTTATTTTTTTAAGGACGTTTGGTTATTCCTGCTGATTCTCCTCTACGACAGACCCTACTCCAAGAATTTTATGACACAACTGTTGGAGGACATGTCGGGGTGGCCCGAACCTATCATAGAATTGCTTCAAATTTTTATTGGAAGGGCATGAAAAAGGATGTTTATAACTATGTAGCCTCTTGCCAAGTCTGCCAGCAAATGAAAGATTCCCATCAATTACCTGCAGGTCTACTACAACCCCTACCCATTCCTTCGATGGTGTTTGAGGATATCGCAATGGATTTCATCACCTGTTTGCCTAGTTCTAAAGGTAAGTCCACTATCATGACGGTCGTAGATCTTTTCTCTAAATAGGGACACTTTATTGCATTGTCGTCTTCGTTCACTGCTCAGTCACTTGCAGAAGCTTTTGTGATTGGAATTGTTCGACTTCATGGCCTTCCAAGGTCTATTGTGACTGATCGGGACCCTCGTTTCCTGCATAGCTTTTGGCAGGAGCTTAATCGACTACAAGGTACCACATTGGCTATGAGCACGGCATACCACCCTCAGACAGATGGCCAATCTGAGGCTCTGAACAAATGTATGGAGCAATATCTACGTTGTTTTGTCGCTGATGCTCTCACCAAATGGGTTGCGATGTTACCTTGGGAAGAATACTGGTACAATACCGCATATCAGTCCTCCGCTGGGATGACTCCATTTCGAGTGTTGTATGGTAGAGACCCACCTACCGTAGCTCGGTACATTCTGGGCAGTAGCGCTAGTGAAATGATTGAAGCTTATCTGGTGGATAGGGATGAGGCCTTAACTCTCCTTAAGGATAACTTGGCTCTTGCACAGAATTGGATGAAGGGTCTCACTGACAAGAGTCGAAGGGAGCTAAATTACCAAGTGGGAGAAAGGGTTTATGTCAAACTAAAACCGTATCGCCATAATGTTGTTCTCCTTCACCGGCATCCTAAACTGGGAAGACGTTATTTTGGGCCTTTCAAAATCCTCAAACGTATTGGAGATGTAGCTTACAAAGTAGAACTACTTGATGATGCTCGCATCCATCCGATCTTTCACATATCCATGCTCAAACTCTGTATGGGTAACCCTGTTCAAAAAATTACTCTTTTAAACCTGAATGATACAGCCAACGTTATTCCTGAGACTTTTATGAACCTTGAGGACAAGGTTCCTGGACGGGAGTATTGTTGTGACCTCACAAGCTGACATGGAGGACACATCAGCAGCCACCGTGGAGAAATACACACAGCAGGACAGTGGGGTTTTGAAAAGAAGTAAGCGCGTAAGAACCCCTTCAACAAGGCTAAGTGATTTCGTAGTGGGAACTAAACGATGAGAACGTGGGCAAAGGGCAAGAACGTGTGGCTCGTGAAGTACCAGATTTCATAAATAGCAAAACAAGATTTGAATTAATTAGGAATTGTAATTTGAGTCTTGTTATCTCATCTCCCTGTTCTGTGTTTTCTCATCTCCTTAATTTCTTCTTTCCTTGTTACTGTTCCATTGATTTTACTTCTTGGTCTTATATTTCAGTTGTCGTTATAATACAAGCTACCTTTATTTGCAAATTGTTATTTGGTTTGTTGCAAAACATCAAATATAAATATATAAAAGAGAACCCTAGACTCGCTTACATTGCACCACCACAAACAAGGATTCCCTTTTAATTTAATTTATTCCAAAACTAGCCTTCTCCTTTCATAAAAAGTTGTGACTTTTATGAAATGTTGCAACTTTTATGAAAAATAGCGACTTTTATGAAGAGTTGCGACTTTTATAAAAAGCTGTGACTTTTATGAAAAGTTGTGACGTTTATGAAAGGTTGTGACCTTTTCGAAGGGTTGTAACTTTTCCAAAGAGTTGTGACTTTTCTGATAAGACACAATAAGCAAGTGTTCACACTACACTTTGTTGTTTATAAATAGAGGAATTTCCTCTCATTTTAAAACAACGAAAATTTTGA